TACTCTCAGTTTTATTGTTTTACTCAGAACAAAGGTTATCAAAAATGAAATTTTCGCATCCAATACTGGTGCTGACTGAGCAAACAAAAGTCGAAAATCTGACCACGTATTGTATGATTATTCACAGATCGTACAAGAAGCCCTGGAAAGAGCAAGAGAAGGAAGGACATGTATAGTGGTGGCTCATCGTCTCTCGTCCATCCAAAACGCGGACCTGATAGTGGTCCTAAAGAACGGGAAAGTTGAGGTAGCCACTTTTTATGGCAAACAATTTTGGCAAGCACTTAGGCAGTTTTCTTCCATAGGTTAGAATGGCCTGTGTCCAACTGTAGCTCAAAAGAACCTTTCCTCGCTCAGAGCTTTTAAAAAATTTGAGAGGTTATTCTCTAGCCCAACTAGATTATACTCTGTTTCCAGGAACAAGGTACACACCAGGAACTTCTCGCTATGGAAGGCCTTTACGCCGGACTAGTTAGTAAACAAGATCTCAACTAAGTGCGACCAGTTCATTTTTGTAAATATTCACCTATGTAATAAAGCAATTGACGACAGTCCTTACTATTTAACAAAGACATTTACTATAATCGGAATTGAGAGGGAAGGACCAGAAAAAGTTCTAAAATTCCTGCGATCACTTCTCTACTGCTGTGTTCATCAGATGTCACCTCTTTACTTTTATTTTCTACAACTGAAACATCTCAACCAAATCTCAGAGAAGTAGGTCAAGTATAACGGTATGGAAATATCACAGAATAATAGTAAATAGCTCGACAATGCCCGCAAATTTACAGCGTTCTTCGAAAATTCTTCCAATCACTAATCAATCAAGATGCGAGAGGCGAAGACAAACGGTCACCAGTAGTAACTTAGGATAGATATTGCATTTTCGAGAGGGTCTTCGGTTGTGTATTACCCTAAACCCTAAAATAATAATAACCCAAATTATTAGCCACTGTCTTTGGGAATCAGTGCGTCAAACCTCATTTTCTGCCTCCTCTGTGCCCTGAAGGCAGAAGAAGGCGGAGAAGTTGTCTGAACTTCAATTTGATACTCTCTGAAAATGTTCAAAACGTATTATAAACGAACGTAAGTTTCAGGCAAACTTGATTTACCTTTGCCATAATCTTATATTCTTATTGTGTAGAAGTTCATTCTCCAGGCATCTCTTGTTCTGCGTGGGGTAAAGTCCCTGCTTCGGTTTTACTTTCCTGAGGATTCCTGCTTTCGCAACGTGCTTTGTTCCTATCTTTGGTTCTTCCTCAATTTATTTCTGTCATTGTGAGTGATTCTGCTGAAAAAATCAGAGTCCTTACCATTATTCAACAATTTCCGACCTATGGCGATTGACAGTCTCTTGTTCTAGCTTTTCCTTATAGCAACGTCCTCCGCTTTTTGCTCCCGAGCTCTGCTTCTCCACATTTTGGCATTTTCTGCAGCTTTCGCTAGCCGTGCCCTTTTTTGGTCTTCTGTTTCTGCCAATCTCTTTAGCCTAGCTCTTTTTGCCTCTCTCGCCAGACGATCTTTTCTCTGTTGTTCAGTTTCTGCCCATCTTCTTAACCTGGCCTTCCTTGCAGTTCTGGTGTAGCTTTTTGGTTTACATTCATTGCCAGATGATAGCTGTTCAGCATCGGATCGAGAAATCACAGTTTGTCCCCGATTTATGCTATCATCACACACAGACACTGGCTGTTGATGAGAAACAGTTGGGATGCTGATTTTGTCAGCAGCTTTCACAACTTCCTTGATCATAATAATATCCGGACTTTGAGAGTTCCTCGAGATACGGCCTTCATTCTCTTGGACTGTCCCTGCCAGACTGGATTCAACGGGCGATAGTTGCAGCGAACCGATCTGAACAGCTATTTTTAGGAAGCGAAATTGCTCATCGTCAAACGTAAAATACTCACTGCCTCCGCGTCGTGCGTTGATACCATTTGTGGACCAGTGTCCGCGTCATGTTTCTTCCCGGGTAGAAGCGTATTCTGCAAATGTTTGATCAATTTCGTCAAACGTTTTCGTATAGGGTGTCACAAATCTGGCAAAGGCTTAATCTCCAATAACCTTGTACGAAAAGCTATGACGGTCTCCAGGCACCAAAATGAGGAGTTGGCTTCAGAAGTCACGCGCCATATTTGATCCACTCTTCCACTTCGGCTATTGGTCAAATCTTTGAACTAACCAATAGCAAAGGTATGACCATTCAATTCGTTTGATCCATTTCATCCAGAAGCGAATGAAGCGGATCAAGCGGATCAAGTAGATTAAGCATGGCGCGTGCTTAAGAGTAACTGCTGTAGGGTTACGGTAAAACCTTTCGAGATGGGTCTGCAACAAAAACGGCCGAAATTTTCACCGGAACAAATTCCAAAGGTGCTCAAATCTTTTCACGGCAACCTCAAAAGTTTCGTAGGTATACCGCAAGACTAATACTGTATTTAGCAAATCACTAAAAATCTGGTAAGGAAAGGGGAATTACTCGCTACTTTGCACCGCCTCCGAAGACAACTGGTCTTAAGTGATACGCAACAATATTACAAATGGACCAGTGTTCTCGGAGCCGGCCCAAAGTCCGTCCGTTCCGCTACCCCATGCTAAGTCATCCAAACTGCTTTACAGACCTGCACCACGTCAATTTGATTGGAGGGCTTTAAGGAACATACTACAAAGGGCTTCAGTGACATTTCGAAATGGCAGCTAATTTCCAGTTTCTAGAAAGTTTCTACCGTAATCTTGAAAA